TTTCTCAATACCTCCGAAGAACTCTTGCAGATGCTGCGCCACAAGATCGGAGGAGGCAAGCGGGTTACCCTGGTCGTCAGGCATGTATGGGAAGGCCGTGGGCTTTTTGTTGCGCCCCCCGAGACGCAGGAGCTTTATGATGCCTTTGCCAGGCCTGCCTGGCCATGCCCCCGTCGACAGAGAGTTTAGCCTCCTGAGCAATCCCTTCAAGAAAACGACACCTGTCTTTTTCGAGCTGGTTGGCAAGAACATGCTTGGAACGTAGAATGAACGAGTGAAGGGCAAGAGTAAACTCGTCATGATGCGCAGTTCCGTTGACATCGAAGGGCCACCTGCCGCACTAAAGTGTAGAGGGCGTCCCATGGGGGGTCCTGGAGCTCCCTATATCCCTTGCCAAGGTCCCCGCTGGTCCACCGACCAGCAAAGTGCAAGAGAATCCTCGAAACCGTGGCACCAGGAGGCAGGGCAGAGGGGCGCGCCACCTTACGCAAAACGCGAATAACTCCACGGCGAGCAAGCACAAGCAGATGGGAGGAGGCAGAGATGTAAGACTGCCTAGGGCGACTGCCTATGCGGGTGAAGACCTCTTTCGCGGCATGGTTGACCTGCTTGGTGGCCAAAGCCATATGTTCCGATGGGGAAACAGACCATTCGATGGGGGCAAGCTCCGAGAGACGTTCCCGAAACTGAGACACCCTCTCGGGGTCCCTGAGAAGATCATCGTCCAGCCGTGTCGACGAGGCTTGGCGCACAACCCGCTCCTGGTGAAGAGTGAGATTGGCAAGCACGGGGAGATGATCACGCTGCTGAGAGAAATTGTCAAGCTCCTTCCAAGTGTGGACGGCAGAGATATTGGAGGCCAAGCCCTGGGAGACACATATAGTCTATGCGGTGCCGAACATTCTTGTTGGTTACAAACGTGTAATCGTCACTATCACCTTGCATGGTGTTGACAGCTACCAGTGCCGCTTCATTGAGAGATTGCCTGAATCTCAGCCCAGGAGGGTCCTCGTCCTGGTGAAATCCCTGGTCCCCGACCGTTGCATCCGTGCAGGTACCGAGCCGCGCGTTGGCGTCGATGAGCATGATCTGAAGTCCCCAAGCGGCAAGCTGTTCGTCCAGGGGGGTCCAAAAAGCATCCCGGTCTGAAGCTTTGTGACCCGAATGATACGCATGAGCAACTGCCACAGTGACCTCTAGACCTGGAGCTTGAATCCGCACCGCAAGAAGACGAGGGGTAGCATGTTGCACGGAGAGATGACGGGGGTGAAAGAGCAGAGGGCGGCCTTTACACTGCCCATAAGGTTCCTCAAGGTTGACCCAAAGCTCGACACCAGCCGAGTGATTGATATGGCCAGAAGCCAAAACCTGGTAGGCGCCCTTTCTCTTCGAACTCTGGGGGGTCCGCGCCTCCTGGATCCCGACAAGATGGATTTTCTTGTTGTGAAGCTGTTGCCGTGTCATTTGAGACCGCATTCCTTGGACATAGGCATTGCTCGACTTCTTGTGGGATTCAGCAAGGGAACGCGTGTTATACTGGGCCATAGAGAGAGAGCAATCGTCTGATGTTGGAGACGCGTGGGCACAGGTGAGGCAAGGTCATCAACGGTGGCAAGAGAGCACGGCAGCGGAGCATCAAAGGAGAGATGGATGCACTCACCAACTTGCTTCTGCACGAGAGATGGATAAGCTGATGCAACCTCAGATGGGGCATTAAGAAGCCAAACCCATTCAACTGCACGGGTGAAGTCCATGAGATCATATAGAGGATCGTGCAGAGCAGAAACCTCCAACTTACCTTTCATGGTGGCCCGAGCGACGTTATCAACAATAGTGTTCCAAGGATGGTCGTCGTGCCCCTTGACGTGTCAGATCTGGATTTCGCACCGAGGTCTAGCCTTGACCAGAGGCGCATACGTGAGCCTAGCAATATTTCGCTTGGCCTTGCTATTGGACCTGCCGGTGAGGAAGTCGACTGCATTCAAGCTGTCACTCCAGATGGTGACTGGCAAGGGCGCTTCCTGAGTGAGAGTAACAAGCAGAGCCCAGGGTATGGCTAAGAGCTCAACATCCGTGCTGTCCAGATCTTCGGGGGGGCCTAGAATGCAGGACTGGGTCCACTGGGAACAGATGAACCCCCTATAGGCATAGCCATCCCTGTCCTGCGAAAGCGCAACAACTCCCCAACTCGCAGTGGTGTTGTCGGAAGGGTCGAGAGACGCGTCGGCATAATAGTGTTGATGCTCCCACTCACCGAACCTGGGCGGACAGAGGCTGAGGGCCAGGCTTCCTGGCTCCTCCAAGTCGGGGACAGCCTCGCGTCGCCACACAAGAGAGACCCTGACGTCCTTGGCAAGCCAAGCAGAGGGGAGTCGGCCGAGATCGCACTGAAGAGGCGATGGAGACTCAGGGAGCGACGATCGATGCGTGTTGGTATTTTCCGCATGGCGCTCAGAGGTTGAGAAACGAAATGACGGGCCCAAGGAGGGGGTCGTCACCATGACCTGAAACGGATGGGGGGACAGAGCCAGGAGTGGGCGACGACTCGCTGCCCCCTCTGGGAGGAGCCAGGGCGCGGGCCATAGATGGGACATCAGAAATGGGGAGAGAGGAGGGGATGTACTGAGCGCTCGCATAGGCGCTCGACAGATCCTGCTGCATAGCTTCACCCTGTGAGACCGGCCAAGTGTCAGGCGCAGGCGAGACGCAACTGCTGGAGAAATCGCTCGAAGCGGGGAGGCCCGCTGAGCTCATCTCGTCCGGCCTCAACTGTCAGAGGTCAACGAGGCACAGGGCGACAGGCTGCACCGCCGAAGGGGCGGCAGCCGCGGCAAGGGATTGAAAATGACTAGTGTCAGAATCCTCGCTGGAGTGCGCGTGCGATCCCGAAGGCGACCCCGCGGACAGGGCGCCAAGGTCCCTTAGCTCCTGCTCATGGCCGCTGTGGCCAGCAGGAGTCTGGGCCAGAAATGGGGCTGGATCCTGCGAGGAAGCTGACGTGGCTGCATATATATCGCCACGTGAAGAGAGCCTAGGACTGCTAACAAAATGTTGCAAAAGGCTGGAGTCTGAGCTTTCGCTGGAGTCGGGCGGCGGGTCCCTGGAAGAAGCCGCGCGGCCGGGGCCGCTGGAGCCCTGCGCCTCCGTATCCTGGCCGTCTTGGCCTGGAGGAGACGGGCCCGAGGGAAAAGTAGTTTCTGTCGAAGGCTCAGACGCGGAGGCGGGCGGCTGGTAGTCGTGCGAGTGGAGATCGGACCCCCACAAACGCCACGCTTGCCCAGACCAGAGTGGATTGGCGAGATGGCCTGGGCGGCCTGCCTCGACAGAGATCCGATGCCGTGCTCGGATGTAGGCGTCTAGAGCGCCCTGTAACTCCAGACCACGCTGCGTCGGATAGGCGGCCCTCGTGCGATCGAGACGCCGAAGATAAGCTGAGCGACGAGATCCTGACATTTGCCAGGCCTCCCTACAGATTATTTCCGCCTGCCTGCGCCAAGCGCGCCTGCTGTTGATACCGTATATCGGGTGGAAGAGCGGGTGAACATCTGGCAGGGTGTGCAGATATGCTTCTACCCACGGAACGCAGTCTTCAAGCCACTGGGCCTTCGCCTGATCATCTGACATGAAAATGGCATTATAGTACCAGGGCTTAAGCTTGTACGAAAGCCTCTCAGCCAAGCGCTCAGAGGCCTCAAAGGCTTCGAGCAGGCCAGGAGGGGCAGGCTTGGAGGATGGAGGAGAAGAGGCATCTGCCATCACTGGGGATTCCAGTCGCTGAACGTGCCTACGAAAGGAGCCCATCCCCCAGCGTCCGAGCAAATCACGATGGCATCCTCAAAGCGGCCCATATAGTCAGGGGCGCGATGAGCCAGAACGGGAATCGCTGCAATGGTGTCGGCTACGTGCTCAACACACCATCGCATCCAGGTCTGCTTGGCCACCTGCTCTCCAGATTGAGCTGCATCGCTATCCCAGAAGTGGGTGAACATAGCTAGGTAGGAGGCAAGCTGGTCACTGGCAGTCAGCGCGTCAAATCTGCACTCCTCCTGCTCCGCAGGGGTTGCGACACGCTGAGTGTTGTGATGCTCGTATCCGCCGCCCCCACTCGACCCAGCCCCGCCACTAGAAGAGCTGCTGGCAGCATGCAGTTGGTATTGTGCGATTGGCTCAAACCCGGAGTTACTCGCAAGCTTAAAAGTCGGCTGTCGTCGTTCTCCCCCCCCCGTCCTCCACCCGCCGCCCCCGCAAGTGGCTCGATCCATGACTAGCGAAACTTGGCTCTCAAACGCTGGCTCGTACCCTCTGCCGGCGTTCGCAGGCGCAAATTCTGGTAGCGGAGCGGGGACTGCTGTGTGTGAAGGCTTCTGGAAGGCGCTGGCATCGGTCGGCCCAGGAGAGGCCGCGCGCCGAGGCAGGGAGAGAGGAAGCATTAAGCACGTCTAGACCCGCGTGCTGCAACAAAGTGTGAGAAGCTAAAACAGGAACTGAATACGGCGGCTCAGATAGATAGGCGTTAGCCTCACCAAAATCTCCATGACGGTCAGGATTATAGAACTTCGTGTGGACGTAGCCCCATGAGATTCCTATGCGTCGTCTGCTAGGCGTTGGCACACATGGGCGGGCTCGCCCGCTGGAGGCGACCGACTCCTCTCCTTGATGGCCTTGCCTTTGCCCTTGAAGCACATCTTGCCATCGTGGTCGATGTAACTCTGAGGGCCACGGAGCTGCTCCTGACTGGGATTGATCTGGGTCGGGGCGAAATGCTCGGGCGCCGCGTAAGGTGTCTCCTGGGTCGGCGGGAGGCCCCACATCTGAGTCGGTCCAGGCGTTCCAGGAACTGGTTTGTCCTCGGGAGCTGTGGCCGCCGCCGCCGGTGTCCCTGGAGCTGCGGTCGCTGGTGTCCCTGGAGCTGCCGCTGCAACTGGCGCTGCCGTCCGTGTCCCAGGAGGAGCCGCCGCTGCTGCTGGCATCAACGTCGAAGGAATCGGGATGCCCTGAGCCTGGTACATCTCGATGATGGCCGCCTGGAGCTGAGCATCTGTGAGGGAAGCCGGCGCCGATGCTGTACTCCCTGCTGCTGGAAACCCCACCGCTGGCGCCGACACTGGCTCGGCCGCCTGAGGCGTTGGGAAGGGGCCTGCTGGTGGTGGAGCTGCCGTCGCACAGTGGTTCAGCATGTACTGATGCATCAACCTCATCTGCGCCTCCATCTGTTGATTGTGCTGGTAGATGAGGTCGCGCTGCTGAAGTGCTGCATCGCGCTGCTCTCGAAACGAAACCGCAACGGCTGGCAGCCCTGGGCTCGGAGGTGCTGTACCCTGAGCTGTACCTGATTCCACTGCCATGGTACTCGGAGGCTCCTGGATGATCTCTGCGATCTCGGCCTTGATCTTGTTGTCGATGTCGATCAAGCTCTGATTCAAGTCCTCCACCTCCTCGCGGCCTTCTTCGGCCTGAGCCTCGAGCACATTGATCCTGGCATAGGTGTTGTGCAGGCGGTCCTTCGCCTCGTTGAGCCGAGTCAGTGCTTGCTCGCGCTGCTCCTTCAGTGGCAGCAGCTGGTCCTGGCAATAGCGGAGCATGCCGAGCTCCTCCTTGAAGTCCTCGTCGCCTTTGCGGGCCCGCAGCGCTGCAACCGCCGCCTTGGCCAGCGTCGTCATGCGAGCGCTGAGCCTGTCCTTGAACGCCTGCAGGTGGCGCGAGTCCGTCGGGGCCTGCCACTCGCCCCAGCTGGGGTGCGCCTCCGCGAACTGCTGCGTGGCGGGGGCCAGCCTCGAGAGGTAGCGCTCGACTGCCTTGCGGGTCTCGGCCGTCTCCTTGTCCTCGCCACGCGGCTGCCGCCCACGATCCTGAGGAGCTCGGTGGCGACCCTGATCTGTTGGCGGCCTCCTGGAGGAATCTGGCCGCGCCTTGGGCTCGACCTGCACCCACGGCTGGCGAGAGGAGGCGCCCTTGTGCGACTTGCTGGCTGAGCGCGGCCGCCGAGGCTGACTGTGTGACCTCTTGCGCCTGTCCGCGAAAGCACCACCGCAAGCACAGTACCACTGCCAGTGTTGAACTCGCTCGTTGCAGGAGCCGCAGGTCCATCCTGGCTGAGAGGCCATGTCGACTTCCTCGGAAGACTGTCGTGGTGCCTCTGGCTGGCGCTGGGCGCTGTGATGCTGCGAGAGAAGCTGTCCAGCTCGTAGCACGCGCAGGAGCGTGCGCGCTGTGCCGCGAGCGCGCCGCTCACGACGGTGCCACGCGGGCTCGCGAGAACGATCGCGACTGCGAGCGCGGGACTGAATGGTTGCGGACGCGAGCCCCTGCTCGCGCCTCGCGAAAGGCCAAGGCTGCTGGGCTACCCACCTGAGGGCGACCCAGTCTTGAGCCCAAACCTTTCGCCTCCTCCTCCTCCTCCTCCTCCTCCTCCTCCTCCTCCTCCTCCTCCTCCTCTGCGACCCGCTCGAAGGGGCCGTCTGGGCCGATGTCGTCCACGGCCTCCAGCTCCCACAGGCGGGGGGGTGCGCTTCAACATGCGACGGCGGGAGCCCAGATCCGCGCCCGTGAACAGCCCTACGGCTAGCGCCAGCTTCGCGACCTCCTCTGCTCCTTGCCGTTGCTCGCGAACCACGCCGCCCGTATCGCGTGGTTCCCGTCCACGAGGTAGCAGGCCCCACAGTCCTCGGGCCCGCCGGCTGCCACATGGGCGAGCGGCTCGCCCCACGCGCGGCGCCAGCTCGCGATCCGGGTCGCCCAGCTCCACCAGGTCGTCCTTGATGTCCATGTTCTCCCCGAGCAGCTCCTGCAGCAGCACATGCGCGTAGGGGTAGGGGAGCAGCTCGCGCGTCTCCCTGGCCACCACCAGTACACCCACTGCGGCCACCTGCGTGATCATCTTGTCGTGGCTGCCCAGGCTGCCTCCTGCCGGAGCCACTGGCGTCACTGCCGCGATGGCGACCATCGCCGCGGCTCCGCCCGACTGGACCGGGCTCGCCTCGGGCCCGTCGCCCGCGTCCTCGCGAGCCCGAAACGGCTGCGGCACGGCGTGCACTGGGGGAGCAGAGGATGAGGGCGACGGAGTTGGCGATAGCACCACCTGTATCCCTCCGCACCTGGACCCGACGCTCCACGACTTGTTGTCCGACTCCGGGGTGTCTGCGGGACCGACGCGACTGAGGACGACCACGTGTGCTGCCCACTCTCCCCCGTAGCTGACGATGACGACGGGATACTTTGCGACTCGATCGGGCACGACAGCGACACTACTACGTGCGACTCGCCGTCGATGCACATGCCACAACGCCGGCCTGGCCTTGCCCAAGGCGGACGGCCGGGTGCCAACGACGACCGGGCGGACGGGTACGGGAAGTCGTCGTCCTCCCCAGGTCGGCTACGCCCCTCGCGTCGGGTGCCATGAGAGCGCGGCCTTGAGCCATGCCCTCTGCGAAGGACTGTTGTCTCCGGTGGTCCTCCCACAGATAGCCGTGGAAGGCGCCCGTCGTCCAGCGACCGAAGCGCTCGACCGCTTCCAAGTCGCGGGCGGGCGCGGCAGAGGGCGGTCGCTCCCCCCATGCGGAGGGAGCGCGACCCCAGTTTGGCCCCCTTCCGCCCCGCGCGCCGGCGTGGCCAGCCGCAGTGGCCCCTGCACCTCGCCTCGCGTCACTGCACGGCCACTCGCGTGCCGAAAAGAGGGGAGGCCCGGTTCGAGGCCGCGCTCAAACCGTTGAAGGTACTCACGCTGCAGCTCCGCCAGCGCGCTCAGCACGCACAGCGGGCGCTCCGAGCGGAAGTGGTTGCGGTGACATCCCGCGTCGCACTGGTCCGTCTTGGTGGACGTGATCGTCAGTGCGATCTCGTCGCAGCTGCCCGGCCACCCCTCCGGGGATCCGTTCCGTAGGCCCTGGATGTCGATGCCAAGTGCGACGCGGTCCAGGCTCCAGGACTTGTCGGGCTTCACCAAGTACTCCGACGCTCTCAGCATGAATAAGTATCCGGTCACCAGGGCCCCCCACCAGAGGACCACAGCCTCGGCTCGAGGCTCGGCCCCAGGGCTGAAGAAGTATTCTTTAAGCCACATCAGCATCCGCGGGGTTGCGGGCAGCTTCCGCCTCACCTTGCCACCCCAGCGTCGTAAGCCCTCCATCGTGGTCCACAGACGCCGACGGTCAGCGGTGACGCCCCCAAACCCGGCCAACGCATGGCAAACAGCTTCTGACGGATGGTGCGTCGTACAGGAACACCACGTAGCGTATCAAGTCGTCCTCATCGGCCAGCCTCTCCTCCCGCGTCTCCCCCTGCAGGTGCGGACTGTTGTCCTTCAGCTACCTCCATAGCAGCCAGCTCCTCCATCCGGCCTGGTAGGTAGCACGGGCCCCCTCGGCTAACTTCGCCAACGTCGCCTCCGTCGCCACGCGGTCGAGGCCCCGTGCCTCGTCCACTGCCTCGAGGCCAGGGCGCGCCAGGCGGCCGACGGGCACAGCCCTGTGGCTAGAGCCTCGCGGCTGCGGAGCCGAAGTGGGCACCGCAAAGTCCCTCGCTCCCGCCGCGCACAGAACCTGCAGTCCCTGACTCCGGATCCGCCCTACTTTGGGGAAATTCGTAGGTAGGGCTTGGAATTTCCGCCTTACTTTTCAAGCCCCGCTGATGCCAATTTCCGCCCTACTTTTCTGCTGCTGTTTCCGCCCCACTTCTGCGGATTTCCGCTCTACTTTATGTTGGGTGCAGAAATTTCCGCCCTATTTGTTCGGCTTCTTATAAGTGGATTTCCGACGCAAATTTAAGTTGCGGAAAAAACCAGAGTAGGGCGGATCTGGAGTCAGGGGTCTCAGCAGCCAGACCATATACAATTGTTGACGCTTCGCGTATCCCCACCAGCCCATCCAGAAACGATGCCCAGGGGAGTTGAGGTGATCAGGGAAGTCGGGGAGCATGCAGAATAACAAAGGGCGGGGGAAGCTGTCACGTACCCCACGAGGGGGAGGATGGAGAAGGAATCCTCGTCGGAGGGGGAGGGGGAGGAAGAGGAGGAGGAGGAGGAGGATGAGGAGGAGGATGTGGAGTAGGGAGAGGACGAGGAGGACGAGAAGGAGGAAAAGGAGCAGAGGGAGGAGAAGGAGGAGAAGGAGGAGAAGGAGGAGGAGGAGGAAGAGGGGGATGAGAAATTGAAGAGGACGGCGAACCGAAGAGCCAGAAGCGTCTTAAATGCATTTCGGAGATCTTCTTGAGGCTTCTTGGGGGTCTCTTGGGAGCCTCTTGGAGGCCTCTTGGGCGCCTCTTGGGGCCGTCTGGGCGCTTCTTGGGGCGCTCTTGGGGCGCTCTTGGGGGCTGTAGGGGCGCTTTTGCGGCCATATTGGAGGAGATCGATCAACGAAGGGGGGGTTCCGAATTAGCCTCCCCCCTCAGGAGCTCCAAACATCGCCTCTTGGGGCGCTCTTGGGGCGCTCTTGGAGCGCTCTTGGGCGCTCTGGGGCCGTCTTGGGGCTCTCTTGGGCCTCTTGTGGGGCCCTCTTGGGCCATCTTGGAGCCATCTTGAGGCCTTGGATGGCCATCGGAAGCGAAACGGGGAGAAAGCAACAAACATTGATTTTCCTCTTGGGGCCGTCTTTGGGCCTCTTGGAACCATCTTAGGAGACATCTCGAGCGATCTTGCGCTATCTTGAGCCATCTTGGAGCTCATCTTGGGCTCTCTGACGCGCTCTTGAAGCCATCTTGGGGCCAAAAGAGCCGTCCGACCGCTCGCGGAACCCTCCGTCCAGGTCCAGGGGAGGGGGTAGGGGGAGGGGTAAACCCCTCCCCAAGGGGGAAGAGGGAGGGGTGGAAGAGGATCTGTTCTAGACCACCTACGCCCAGAGGGCTGGTGGGATTGAAGAGGATGGCGAACCGAAGAGCCAGAAGCGTCTTAAATGCATGTCGGAGATCTTCTTGAGGCTTCTTGGGGGTCTCTTGGGAGCCTCTTGGAGGCCTCTTGGGCGCCTCTTGGGGCCGTCTGGGCGCCTCTTGGGGCGCTCTTGGGGCGCTCTTGGGGGCTGTAGGGGCGCTCTTGGGGCCATCTTGGAGGAGATCGATCAACGAAGGGGGGTTCCCTAATTAGCCTTCCCCCTCAGGAGCTCCCAACATCGCCTCTTGGGGCGCTCTTGGGGCGCTCTTGGAGCGCTCTTGGGCGCTCTAGGGGCCGTCTTGGGGCTCTCTTGGGCCTCCTGTGGGGCCCTCTTGGGCCATCTTGGAGCCATCTTGAGGCCTTGGATGGCCATCGGAAGCGAAACGGGGAGAAAGCACAAAGTATTTATTTTCCCAAGGTTTTGGGACGATTTGGGCCTCTTCGGGGCCTCCTTGGGGAGCTCTTTGGCCACTTACAGCCGTCTTGGGGCCGTCTTTGGGCCTCCATCTTAGGAGCCATCTCGAGCGATCTTGTGCTATCTTGAGCCATCTTGGAGCTCATCTTGGGCTCTCTGACGCGCTCTTGAAGCCATCTTGGGGCCAAGCCCTCAGCGCCGCCTTCCCCCCCCCCCTCCTCTCTCCGCCCCCCGCCCCATTGGGCCTCTCTCCGCGCCTGCCCCTCTGCGCTTCGGTCCTCCCTCCGGCCCCCCTTTGCCAGGAATCTGGCCCCCTGCCCGCCCCGATCTGGGAATCCGGCCCCTCCCCCGCCGCCCTCTCGGTCTCGCCATCGCTTCCCCTTGCACCCCCCCCCTCTCGATTTCGATTTCCCTCCCCCCTCTCTCGCCATCGCTTCCCCTTGCATCCCCCCCTCTCGATTTCCCCCCCTTCCCCTTCCCCTCGTCGGCGTGACCCCCCCTCATCTTTTGACCCCCCCTCCCTCTTTGCGAGGCAAAGTGGGAGCGCCTCGGCGGCCTGGAGCTCGACCCCGTGCTCGGCAGTGGAGCGGTCGTCCTGATGGACGCGGAGTGGATGGTGAGGCGAGCGCGCACTGGCGGCGTCCTCGAGCCGCGCCAGGCGTTGCCGCCGACGGACTTCGTGCCCCACAGCGCCGTCAAAGCCGCCAGTGTTTTTTTTCTGCTGCACATCGCGTGCATATCACACTGCTGGCTGCAGGCGAACCACCCGGATCCACGCGGGCACAACCTGCGCATCGTGGGCCAGGCCCTGCTGCTGCTGCTGGGCGCTTACAGGGGCCGCTGGGGTGTATTCATGGACTTCTGTTGCATCCATCAAAACTGCAGGGACCGCGAGGGCGTTCCCCAGCAGCGCACCTACCAGCGGCTCGAAGGCTCAGATTCGTTCGAGGACGATGCCCTCGGCCGCTTCGAGCTGGAGCATGCGCTCTTCAAGGAGGCATTGGGGAGCCTGGGGAGCTTCTACTCCCACCCCGCCACTGTCGTCTTCATGCTGACGCGGTTTCCAGATGATTACGGCGATGCTGCAAAGTACACCCGGTCGAGCAACAGCAACACGGAGCAGTACTTCAACCGTGGCTGGTGCTTCTGCGAGTCCTCCTGGGGGATGCTGACGAAGCCGTCTTTCTTGCTCTTGGACCTCGGCCGATGCACGGGAGCGGAGACCCACTACGGGGAGTTGCTGGACACCTGCCGCGCGGGGCGCCGGGCGCCCCTCCTGCCCGACGCCTTCGACGAGGAGCTGCAGAGCAAGGGCTTCACCAACGGCAAGGACGACCGGCCCCGGGTCGCCGAGCTCTACCGCTCCGCCTTCGCGCAGCGCTTCGAGGCCGCGGAGGAGCTGCTCTACGGCGGGCTGCAGTGGGGGGACGAGGAGGCGCAGCAGCTGGCCGCCGTGCTCGCCTCGGGCGCCGCGCCCCAGCTGCGGGAGCTCCACCTCAACGACAACCGCGTGGGCGACGAGGGCGCCGCGCGGCTGGCGGAGGCCCTGCGCGCCCCGGGCGCGCTGCCCCAGCTGCGGCTGCTCTACCTCTACGGCAACCGCCTCGACGGGCCGGGCCGGGCGGCGCTGCGCGCCGCGTGGGCGGAGGCCGGGCGCCCGGCGTCGGGC